GGCCTGTATCAGGCGCACCTTAGTCTCCAGAGAGACACTGTTGCTCCTGAGTACCTTTGAGAGGTCCCTAACAGCAGACTTTCCCATCGCAATACACTTTTTTATTTCATGAGAAAATAAAAATGTCTATTTTTCTCATAGTCGTCCAATTTATATATGGTCTTCACAATTACTTGTTATGCATCAGAGAGCTGCACAATGACTAAAGATGACAGAAGAAGAACCAACTTGTTTGAGTTGTTGTGCTGGAGAAGAGCATTGAACATACTATGGACCGCCAAGAGAATAAACAGGCCTGTCTTAAGGTGAAACCAGGTTACTCTTTGGAGGAAAGGATTTTGAAGCTCCACCTCATGTGCTTTGAACATGTTGCCAGGAGGGACTGGTCCTTTTAGAAGGATGTCATGCTTGAGTGGGTAGAAGGTCAGCATAGGAGAGGAAGACTCTGGATGAGATGAGTTGACACTGCTTATAGTCAGGGAGAAGATGTGTTGGAGAGAATAAGAGTGGCTAAGATAGGGCAGGGTTTAGAGCTACTCTTCATAGGGTTACTATCAGTCATAGTCAACTCGACAGCAAGTAACAATAACAACAACAATCAAAATCCTGGCCTGCTGCCACCTTTCTCCTGACTTTCCTATCCTACTAATGGTACCTGTAGTTATCAAGGTACAAAGCCCAATATTTCTTTTTCTTATCTCTGCCAGCCTTGTCAATCACTTATTGTTGTTGCTGTTGTGTATCTTTATGTTGGAACTGACTCATAGCTGACCCTTTAGTGGGTTTTCAGAGGCAGTAAATCACACAGAAGAGACTGCCCATCTTTCTCCCCAGAAGCCACTTGTAGATTTGGACCATTGTCTTCAGGTTGGCAGCACAGCTCTTTATCACTAGGCCACCAGAGCTCCTGTTGTTGTAGTTAGATGCTGTCGAGTCGAGGACAATTCATCACAACTCAATGACCAAGAGAGCTGAGCACTGAGCCATCTTCGCATTAGGTGCCAACTGTTGCACAATTCATCCTTTCTCTAAAAGGGAAAGAAAGGTCCAAATCCATTACTTCTTTACAATAATGTATATGTTTTAAAAAATAAGTATATCTTATTTCACTTTTGCTTTAATAGTGGGGTGATAGGCGGAAAACTTTCACAAGCTCCCAGCAGACTATTTTCCTAGGCTTTTTCCTCTCACCTGTTTTCTCTTGCTTTGCCTGGCCATTTCTTGTCTGCTCTCTACATGACTCTCACGCTTTCAGGGTGAAGTCTCACCTTCTTGAGATTTCCCTGAGCCTCCTCCCAAGGCAAAGAAGTGTCTTCTTATTCCAGATCCTTGCAACAGTTTGTCTCTTCTAGTCATTTCCGTTCTTGATTATATACAATTATTTTATTGTGAATGATCCTTTACCTTTATGTGCTATTTATCCACTTAGAGTGAACGCAGTGACTAAAAGGAGGATCATTGTGCATCCCTGTACTCCCCCCCAATTATTAGCACAAATTAAATTCATTCATTCATTCATTCATTCATTCATTCATTCATTCAACAAATACTTCTTGGATATCTGTTATGTGCCAGGAACTTGTTCTTTGGAAATATAACTGTAAATGGAACAATTCTACTATTGGAGAATCTATATTTTAGTGAATCAGAAATAGAAAATAGGCTATCATGAGCAACAATTTAAAATTATAACAATGCTCCATTTTAATAGTTAAATATAATATACAGTTAAATAAAAGTAACAACTAAACTCCATGAGGCCTTAATGCTGATAAGTGGAAAAAGAAAAAAACAACCACCGACCCAAAGCTCATTATAGTCAAGTTGGAACTGACTCAGTTTGTTCTGCAATGAGCTTTTCAAGGTTGTAATCACATAGAAGGAGATTGCCTACCTGTCTCCTGTGGAGCCCTGGGGACTTGAACTACTGGAGAGGTGAGGCCTTTCTTTGGATTAGCTCAGCTCCCTACAAAATACACCATGAGAGCTTCCAGGGATGAGTACTGTGAAAGTTAGAGCCATGCATATGTGAGTTGGATGCTGTGGGGAGTACTACAAGTGAGCAGTAAATGCATATGAATTTAGCTCTTTCTCATTGACATTTACTTAAATTGTTTTATCCATTTGGCAAGTTTATTTGATGACATTTAATCTGCCTTTCCACAAAAATCTTTGATATCTCTTAATTTCCTACATTCATTTCTAAATTATTTTAAAGCTAAAATGAATCATCTCTTTAATGATATTAATTATAACCTTAAAGAAGTTTCAAAAAAAATCTCAAACACCAGAGGTTGCAAAGGTGAATACCAGGTTACAGAGGAGTAAGGAATAATAAGTGTCTTGTAGGCAGCATTCTAGGCTCTCTGTAAGAGAACATCAACAGGGAAGTGCCAGAAGTTCAAGGTAGATTCAGAAGAGGCTGTGAAACAAGGGATATGATAGCTGATAAGATGGATCTTGGTTTAAATAGAGAATACTAGAGAGATATTTCTTTTTGTTCCATTGATTATGCAAAGGCATTTGATGGTGTGGATCATAACAAATTATGGTTAAAACTGAGAAGAAAGGGAATTCCAGAACACATGATTGTGCTCATGGAAAAGCTATACCCAAAATAAGAACAGAACAAGAGGTCACTGCATGGTTTAAAATCAGGAAATACAACTCTTCAATCTGAAAAGAGGACTAAACAAATCATTTGAGAAGCTAGACTATATATAAAAAACAATATGACATTAGAATTAGAGGAAAACTCATCAATTCTCTTTTTTTTTACATGCCTAGTTTTTGTTTTATTTTTCAAAGAGGAGTTCTAAAACATCACACTAAATCAGGTCAAAAGGAAAAGTTTAAAATAGACTGTTTTATAAGGATAAATGATAACATATATAAGGACTATTCACTCTACAAAACATTAATCTTAGAGTGTATGATATACCTCATTGACAGTTGTTGTTATGTGCTGTCGAGTTGCCTGTAACTCATAGAGACCCTATGTACAACAGCCGTAAACCCTGCTCTATCCTGTGCCTATCTCATTGTCTCTGACATACCTACACCCATTACCTCAGTGACTGAATCAATCCATCTCCTCGAGGGTCACTCTCTCCTGCGCAGTAGCACCCAGGTTTCCCAAATTGTTATTGTTGTTATGTGCCGTCGAGTCGCTTGTGATTCATAGCGATCGTATGTACAACAGCTCTAAACTCTGCTCTGTCCTGTGCCAATCGCACTGTCTCTGATACACCCATCCCGATTACCCCAGTCACTGAATCAATCTGCTTCATAGGGGCCCTTCCCCTTCTGCGCTGTCCCTCCACCCTACCAAGCATGATGTCCCTCTCCAAGGACCCGTCCCTCCTTGCAACATGTCCAAAGCATGTTAGATGGAGCCTTAGAATCCTTGCCTCCAAGGAGCAGCCCGGTTTAACCCTTTCCAGGATAAATCTGTTCGTTTTCCTAGCAGTCCATGGTACATTCAATACTCTTCCTCAGCACCACAGCTCAAAGGCATCAATTCTCCTTCTATCCTCTTTAGTCATTGTCCAACTCTCTGATGCATAACAAGTGATTGCAAAAACCATGGCCTGTATCAGGCAGACCTTAGTCTCCAGAGAGACACCATTGTTCTTCAGTACTTTGGAGAGGTCCCTAACAGCAGACTTTCCCATCGCAATATGTCTTTTAATTTCCTGGCTACTGGTGAGAATGTTGACTATGGAGCCGAGCAAACTGAAGCTGTGAACAATCTCAAACTCTTCACCATCCATCCTGATGCTGCCAATTGGTCCAGTGGTGAGCATCTTTGTCTTCTTGACATTGAGCCTCAATCCATCTGGAGGCTGCAATCCTTGACCCTTTGCAACAAGCACTTCAGGTCCTCCTCAGTTTCAGCAAGCAGGGTTGTATTATCTGCATATCGCAGATTGTTGATAGATCTTCCACCAATCTTGACCCCACATTTCTCCTCATAGAGCCCAGCCTCCCAAATAATCTGTTCTGCATACACGTTGAAAAGGTATAGAGACAGGACACATCCCCGGCGTACACCCTTCCCAATTTTGAACCATGCAGTATTTCCTTGCTCTGTTCTGACGACTGCCTCTTTGTCCCAGTAGAGGTTTCTCATTAGCATGATCAAGTGTTCTGGTATTCCCATTCTTCTCAGGTATTACCAAATTAGCCAGTCATTAGTATTCTCTGGTCTGCAAAAACGTCTTGTTAGCTGCCTTCTGCCTTTGCTGCATGATCTCAGAATCCCTCTGCTTTTTCTCAGAGGTAGTCACTCTGTCCTCTTTTCTTTTCCCCTTGCTAATCTCCTGGGTTTTCTGCATGTTTTTCTGGCAGGCAAGTTCTCTCTGATTTCCATGGACCATCCTGACCACCAAACAGAACCTGGTTTTTTATCTCCCTTTTTCATTGTCCAGCATTCATTTATATAGGAAGCAATTGAAAATTTTAGGACTTGGGTCAGACACATCTTTGTCTTTAAACTGACATCCTTACTCTTTAGCACATTAAAGGGTCCTTGGCAGAAAGTTTGCTCAATGCCACCATTTGTCTGTCACTTCATTGTGCTGGGGTGGCTTGCCTGTTGCTGTGATACTGGAAACTATGCCACCAGGGCTTCAAATACCAGAAGCATCATGCATGTTGGACAGACTTCAGCCAGACTTCCAGACTAAAACAGACAAGGAAGCAGGACTAATCATCTCTTTTAAATTATGGGCTCTTGAAAAATACTGAATAGAAGTGGGATTGTATAGCTGTAAATGCCTTGATATTTTTGTAGTTACAGCTGTGTGAAGATTTCCCTTTGCAGGAGTACTTATATGATTCTTTCAAAGTGGTGAGAGAGAGCAAGAACCTCAACCAGGTAGGTTGACACAGTGACAAAAGCAACGGCCTTGAGCATGAGGATGGCACAGGGTAGGACAGGGTTCAGATCAGTGGTTCATAGAGTCACTGTGAGTCATACTTGACTTAAATAGCACCTAATACCCAACACATCTAGATCATATACTATTTCTTCAATGACGCTGCCTTAATTTTAGGAGACACTTCAGTTTGCTCTTTGTCATAAATAGAAGTCAATACTTGAACCCAATAACTGTCCACTCACATAAAGCACACAGCACAGGAGCACACAGCAGCACTTTAAAATGCTAACAATAAAATGATGATGATTAGATGTCACAAGAACATCCAGAAAAGGAGACACGTACACTTCTGTCTGAGCTTAGAGGAGGGTTGTGTTCCAAAGTTTCGTTTCAAATGGAGCTTTGTATCCAGAGAAAAATTTCTTTGAAGATCAAATAAGAACTTTAAAGAGAGGAAGGGATTAAGATAAGCAAAATGGAAGTTTTGGTTATTAACTAGACAATCTATCCCACAACCCTTTCCTCAGGTCTTTTCTATCGCTAAATCTTCTTTACCTGAATTGCTACACTCCAACACCTCCTGGAGCCACGATTTCTCCCTTCCCAATCTGTACTCCCAAGCAAGAAACTACAGAATTTATAATCCAAGAACCAGAAAGATTTCCTTTTTAACTTGTGGGTTGTTGGAAGTGGGGAAATTTGTTTGGTTAGAAAACACTAAACATTTAATATCAAATATGGCCAGTAGGTGTCAGCATCCATCGCAAAATGGATATTTACTTAAATTTCCTTGGAAATTCAAAGGTTCAAATTGCAAAAACCAAATTCGTTTCCTGCTGTATCTTTCCGGCTCTGGTGACCTAATGGATAAAGAGTTACTCTCCCAACCCAAAACCATAGTTCTAATCCACCTGCTGCTCTGAGAGAGAAAGATAGGCAATCTCCTCCCATATGGTTTATAGCCTCAGAAATCCTACTGGAGGATCAATATGAATCAGTTCCTACTCCAAAGCATTGAGTTTGAGTTGTTTCGCTGGGTTAATGCCTAGATGTTTGAGTCTCATGAGTCCTTGATTATTTCACTAGATGCATGTACAGGAATTGTATTTTAAACATTAAAATAATTGGAAAATATTAAGAAAGTTATTTTAATATGGAAGTATTCAGCCATTCCATCCATCATTTAGCTACTGGCCACCTTATTTTATATATTTGCTGATGAAAAACGCATTCCAGAAAGTCAACAGCTTATCTGCTGTTGGTGGTGTTGTGCACCCTGGAGTCGAAGCCGATTCATAGCTGATCTTCCAGTGGGTTTTCAGTCTACAAATCACACGGGAAAAGACTGTGCAACTTTGGAGGGTTTGAACCACTTGCCTTTGGGCTGACTGTGTAACTTCTTACCTTTGCATGGTTTAAAATCAAGAAAACTGTGTCAGGGCTGTATCCTTTATCCATACCTATTCAATCTGTATGCTGAGCAAGTAATTTGAGAAAGTGGATTCTATGGGGAAGAACATGGCATCAGTATTGGAGGGAGACTCATCAACAATCTGCATTATGTAGATAATACAACTTTACTTGCTAAAAATGAAGAGGACTTGAAACTTTTGATGCAGAAGAGAAAAGTCTATAGCCTTCACTATGGATTACATCTCAATATCTATCTACTAGTGTAATTATAATTTAGAGGAACATTCTTCTCAGTGGTACAGCACTGGTCTGTCAATTTGCTGTACTGAGGTAGCTTGGAGTGGCTGTGATGCTGAACTCTGTGCCATTTGAGTGCCAAATACCATAATGGTGACCCATAGTGGACAGTGTTTGGTGGGGTTCCGAGGTTAAGACATGTCTGGAAGCAAGAGTGGCATCCACTTCCTACACAACATATCTCTGGAAACTATGAACTTAAAGAAACAATGATAGTTATAGAAAGACTTCAGGTCTTTTGTTCATAGGGTTAATATGAGTTGTGCTAGATTTGACGGCAATCAACAACAACATCAAGAAGATTAAAAAAAAAATCCTCCCCACTAGGAAACATCATGATAAACAGAGAAAAGGTTGAAATTGTCAATGGTTTAATCTTACTTGGATCCACAAATAATACCCTTAGTACCCGCAGTCAAGAAATCAAAAGATATATTATATTGGTAAAGTTTGCTTTCAGGGACCTCTCCAAAGTACTGAGGAGAAATGATGTTACTTTAAAAACCAAGATGTGCCTCATGAAAGCTGTGATCTTTTTCAATCACTTATTATGCTGCAGGATTGGTGGAAGATTCATCAACAACCTGCGTTATGCAGATGACTCAACCCCGCTCGCTGAAACTGAGGAGGATCCATGGTACTTGCTGCAGAAGGTCAAGGACTGCAGCCTCCAATATGGACTGAGGCTCAATGTCAAGAAGACAAAGAATCTCACCACTGGGCCAATTGGCAGCATCATTATGGATGGCGAAAAGATTGAGATAGTTAACAGTTTTAGTTTGCTTGGCTCCACAGTCAACACTCTAGATACCAGGAGCCAGGAAATCAAGAGACTAATTACATTGGGAAAGTCAGCTGTCAGGGACCTCTCCAGATTACTGAAGAGCAATGATATCAGGCTGGAGACTAAGGTACACCTGATTCGGGTCATAGTCTTTGCAATTTGTGTGGTATGCATCGGAGAGCTGAACAGTGACTAAGGATGATAGAAAGAGATTTGATACCTTTGAGATGTGGGGCTGGAGAAGAGTGTTGAATATACCAGGGACTGCTAGGAGAACAAACAGATTTGTCTTAGAGAGGGTGAAACAGGGCTGCTCCTTGGAGGCAAGGATTTTTAAGCTTCATCTGATCTTTGGGCATTTGGGAGTGATCATTCCTTGGAGAGGGACATCATGTTTGGGAGAGTGGAGGGACAGCAAGAGAAGAAGACCCTTGTTGAGATGGATCGATTCAGTGATTGGTGTAATGAGAGTAGGTGTGCCAGAGACAGTGAGGTTGGCACAGGATAGAGCAGGGTTTAGGGCTCTTGTACACAGGGTCGCTATGAATTTCAAGCAACTCGATGGCACATAACATCAGCAACATTATGCTGCTGAGAGATGGAGAATGAATAAGATGACAAATGAAGAATCGATGCCTTTGAGTTCTGGTGTTGGATAAGAGGACTAAATATCCCATGGACTACCAAAAGAACAAACAGATATGTTTTGGAAAATGTACAGCTAGAGTGTTCCTTAGAAGTAATGTTGGCAAATCTTTGTCTCACATATTTTTTAAATGTTAGGAGACATCATGCTTGAAAGGTGGATGGCCAGCAAAAGAGACGAAAACCGTCAACAAGATGGATTTCCAGAGGGACTGCAGCAACAGGCTCGTGTATATAAGAGATTATAAGGATGGCACAGGATGGAACTGGGGTCAGATCTGGTGTTCACAAAATCCCAAAGCTCCTCTTTGGGGGTAAGATGAGACAATGTGCTCCTGTTAAAATTTATAGTCTCAGAACCCTGATGAAGGTTTGCCATGAATCAGAATCAACTTGACAGCAGTGGTTGTGTGGTGTCTTTTTGGTAGCTGTTTCCCTTCACTATGATTTTCCTCCAGCTAACTACAGATATTCTACACAAATATAAGTGCACTTGCATTTTAAGAAAATGGAACATGTGATAACTGGAATATTCTGAACAGTGCCTTTGCATTAATGTCTTATAAGTACCCATTTCCACAACTGTTCTATCAGTTTGCTGTACTGTGGTGGCTTGCCTGCTGCTGTGGTGCTCAAGGCTATGTCCCCTGTATTTCAAATACCAGCAGTGTCACCCCTGGTGGCCAGGTTTCAGCAAAACTTGTAGACCAAGGCAGACTAAGAGGCAGGACTGGCCACCCTCTTTGGAAATAATCAGACCTTGCAAGCACAATGAATAACAGCAGAAAATTTTCTGATACAGCGCTAGGAGGTGAACTCTTCAGGATGGAAGACACTCAAAATCTGATTGAAGAAAAATTGCCTCCCAAAAGCAGCGCCTACCTTAATAACACGGTAGAGTAAAGGTTTCACTATGCTGATGTAGGAAGATTCAAAATAAGAAATGGCTGCAAACATCTACTAATATTTGGAATATGGGATGTACAAAGAATGAATCAAGGAAAATTTCAAGTTGTCAAAAATGAAATGGCACATAAATATCAATAGCCTACATACTGGTGATCTAAAATAAAGTAATATTGGCCATTTTGAATCAGACAAGAATATGAATTACTATTCTGGGACTCACAAATTGAAGAGGAATATTGTTGCATTCATTGTCAAAAATAATATTTCAAGATCTGCATTAAAATACAAAACTGGCAGTTACAGAATAATATCCACATGTATATAAGGAAGATTTGTTAATGTGACTATTATTAAAATATATACACCAATCACTATAGAAAAAGATGAAGAAATTAAGAATTTTTACCAACTTTTGTAGTCTGAAATTGTAGAACATGCAATCAAGATG